CAAAAAGAAAAAAAGGTGTAAGAGAAGTAGCGTACGTAAAGACAAAGACCACGAAGCCGCGGAATATGGTCATGTATACGATGGTATTAACACTGACAGTACAATTACATCTACACACAGGTTTAAACAATGTATAAAAATATATCACAATCAGGCATGAAAATATTACAACCTTTCGTTGTCGGTTTCAATTATATTGCAAGAATCAACCCGTGGATATTATACTAAAAAAATGGGAGATATATCTTAGTCAATCAATGTTGATATGATAATAATGAATGTTTTGAGAGTGCACTTCCTTATGACCATAGTTGTTTGTACAGTAATCGCTCTTGAAAGATGACTGGTGTATGACGTGAAATTTGCATACGTATGATTTTCATCGTACAAAAAAAAAACCGGCTAGTAACAAACACTAAAACTGTGTGATGCAAGATAATTGTCAAATTTAATGGTCTACAGTGATTTATCGACCTTCAAAATCAAGAATGACTCCCCCATGCACGTGCATCGGGCTACTGCGTTGTGCACGTTCATCCCATGTGTTGTGTTTAGGGGTGGTGATAAAGAGAAATGGTGGTGCGTTCATAAGATGTCTGTCTTTGAAAAAAATGTTGACGCTATACTTCCTATCCGAATTGAAACTTCAGTTTCCCCTACTTTTTTGAAGAGTATATAAGCCAGTCGCAAAAGACACTAAGACCTCAATCACTACATCTCTGTCGTTGATTGGTGTGTGCGTGTTCGTAAAACGTACTGACTGATGATAATAGTTGTTCACAATGGATGGTTTCTGATATTTCTGCGGCGGCGAGGTAGCCTTGTGGTTAAAGCGCTCGCTCGAGACGCCGAAGGGTTCTATTCACAACATGGGTACAATGTGTGAAGCCCATTTCTGGTGTCCCCCACTGTGAATATTTCTGCAGTTTTGCTAAAACCGGTTTTTTTTCGTTTTTTTCCTTCGGGAGCGGGTGACTCATCGGTCTGGGGCAAGGCAATTCGCGCAAGAAAACAATAATTGTTTATATCGCTAGTTTTGTGAACACCACACGCGTGCTTTCCCCAACCTAGTGGGCGTGTTGGAACTACATTACTTCAGCATTTTCTCCCATTAACCCGACACACCGAGATTTAACTGCAACCAGATTTTACCGGTAGACCCATTCCGTATAAACGTACAGCTCAATGTTGTACAACGTCCCATACAGGGATCATTATCTTGCTTCATGCAACTTGTCAGATGAACAGAAACTGGCAGCAACATTGGCAGCCACTGACAGTTGTTATATACAAGAGTTGTTTTCCATACCACCAGTGAAGATCCGTCTTCAATAACCCATGCTTGTTGTAAGAGGCGAATAACGGGATCGGGTGGCCAGGCTCTCTAGCCTGGTTGACACATGTCATCGTATCCCAATTGTGTAGATCGATGCTCATGATGTTAATCACTAGATTGTCTGTACCAGACTCAATTATTCACAGACCGCCGCCATACAGGAGTCATATTGCTGAGTGCGGCGTTAACAACAAACCAACCAACCTTGATGAGGTGCAAATATGTGTCCAAGAGCGTTCGTCCGGGGTGCCCTCGGATGGTAGTTCAGGATGGAGGACAGTAGTCGGACGGAGGACCCCAGCAGCCGTTTTTATTGGGGTGGGATAATAATGTTCGAAATTGTACAGGTTGATTGTAAACACGTGACAGAACGCACACCGGGACCGAGTGGCCAATATTTCCGATACAGGGAGAGCCGCTCTGTCACACGCACAGGCTGTGGTCGGACGGCGATTCTTCATCGCCGACGTAGTCGTTGGCCAAGGCCGTTGCCCCGACTAGCCGCACGATCCGTCCGCTTCTGTCGGTGATCTGGGCCCCTCTTTTCTCGTCTTGCCTCGTGTCCCTGACTGGTCTCCCTGATTGATCTTCCTGACTGACCATGTCAGTCAGATTTTATAAGGTTGAAGCCCGGGAAAGCCACATTCAAGAGTTGAAAATGGTGTGGCTCAAAGGGCAATGGGCATGGTTGAGTGATCGTGTGAATGTGGCTCTCCCGGCAATGCGCTATTAGCTAATCCATCTTATCGTAAATGATGTGAAATATTCATTATGTAATATCTAGAAATCCAGTTGAATTGTTCAGATCACGCAAACCAGCTGCCTCACGTAGGTACTCAAACAGTTTCTTCGATTTATGATTATACAACCAATTATTTCTTTGAAGCATTTTAATTTATGGGAGGGTCAATTCAATGTTTTATCTTTTTCTGATAACTGTTTGAGATAAGAGCTATTGTTGCCTCAGTTATTATGTTTACACTCACGTCACAATAAATTTGATGGAAAATTCTTGTCCAAACTTCTTTGCTGATGCAATGTACCAGTCATACAAACCAAAGTAGTTTACATGAAGGCATAACATATTCAGATAATACAAATAAAATTTTCTTAAGAGCAAAAGCTGAAATTCCCCTATTCCATAGAGTGACCCATTAGCATGTATCATTTTATCTCAGAACATATGTTATCATTTGTTAACCAAAAACTTCAACAACACCCATCAAATGTTAACTAAACAAACGAAGGACAAGTCACTAAAATAATTGAAATCCATTGTGATCAATGAGTGACGCTTATTTGAAAAAAAACCCTGTATGGACCCCCTTACTCATTGTGGCTTTCGCGGCACCGAGCTTTGTACTAGAAATGTGGCTTTAGCGGTAATTGATGTTTTTCAAATGTGGCTTTCCCGGGCGGACACCTTTTATACACAGGGACATTACGCCACTTTGTGCAAGGTCACTGACCTATGCACACGTACATACGTAAGATCCGCCGACGTAGGGAGTTGTTAATTGACATTTACTAATATTAGAATTGTGGTTCCTGCCCGGAGGGGAGTTTATTATAAGAGTGAGTGAGTGAGTTTAGTTTTCCTCCGCACTCAGCAATATTACAGCTATATGGCGGCGGTCTGTAAATAATCGAGTCTGGACCAGACAATCCAGTGATCAACAGCATGCTCATCGATCTGCGTTATAAGAGGGGATACACCGAATGTTTGCTGAATACATTAAACAGACAAAGGGGATAGAATACCGGTGTACTTTGACTATATATTAAACAATTAAATGGTTTGAATATATGAAGTTTTAAAGAAACATCTTGAGAGGATGACGTTAATAGGTATAACATTGTAGTTCCTGCTGATCTGCTTCATGTGTGTGTGTGTGTGTGTGTGTGTGTGTGTGTGTGTTTACTGAACCACAAAAGAAACGTCGCCTTTCAAAGTCAAATGCAAAATTTTGTTCTTACAAGGTGGTATTTTACTTATGATTGTACCGTTTTGTTAACATGTTTTTCAATCCAAATTGACAGTTATTACCAACATCAGTGTGTGCATGAAAGCCGATATTGTTTTTCAACGGTTGATGACTGAGTGAGAGTATGCTGAAGGCGTGGGAACTGTTTTCCAATGAGTGTTTTGTTGAAAGAGACTCGTAGGGTGGTCCAAGCATCATGGTGTGGGGTGCAATCGGTCTGGACCAGTTAGTTGACACCTTGGTGTTCCAGAATCTTGGTCCAAGATTAGGAAATGACGTCACAGCTGCTCGCTATTTTGACCAAGTCATAAGACCCCACGTTGTACCACATTTTCGACGTTACAGAAATCACTTCTTCAAGCACGACAAGGCACACTGCCAGAGCAGCACTGGACTTCCTTAGACAACATGGCATCCAAACCCGACAAAAGCCTGCACTCAGTCCAATAGAACACCTCTGGGACAAGATTTAAAGAAAACTGAATGACCTCCAACCAAGGCTGACAACTGCGGCACGACTCGATTAGGCATTTCGCAGAGTATGGACGCAAGGGCCTATGGCCTTCATCAACCGGCTTACTCATTCCATGTACAGACGATGCAACGCTTTCTTTGATGCCCATGGAGGCCACACACAATACTGACTTCGGGTTATCTTACTGGTACCATTGTTGGTAATTTTGCTTGTGTGAACTCTAAATTTGATTCCCGGAAATGTGTTAAGCATATTTGTCAAGTTTGAACTCAATCCTCCGTTTTGATTGTGAATTATATGTCATCTTGTGTTGAAGGGAGTTAAAATTACACGACTTTCAGTAACATCGAAGCAATCTGACAAGGCACAATGAATTAGCTTTATCATCAGCATCAGTCAACTGTACTTTATAGTCAATGCACAAGGTGCTTAGTTCGGATGTGACAATGCACCACACTGTTTATACCAAGAAACCCCTTTTGACACAATATTACAACATAAACCTCAAGAGCAAAGGAATACAGCTCTCAGTTGAATTGGTCATATTTTTATTTCAGTTGAACAATTAAGTGACTATATGCATACCACACGGACTGGCTCTTAGTCAGTACTCACATAATACATCTGCATGGTGTTATTTGTTTTGGCTATTGTTTGAAGACTTATGGAATTCCAAATTACACAACTGCTGTTGAGTGTCCCTGTGAATCATGTCATCTTTAAAAATTTCGGTACAGAATCGCAACATTTCAGATATGGGTCATGGTGTTACATCTTCATTCTTATCCAAGTCTAAATTGCAACAATTTGTTTTGAACAAGTATTACCAAGCCACAGGTTACCTTATACAAGCTGTAGCATGATTGAGTGATGGTTAAAACAACCACATTTAACAGCCGTTCAATAGTCAGTTGGATAAAACAATTCGGTATACTCTCTTTTGCCTCTTCTCAGTGTTAGACTTTTAGTATCAGCATGGTTCATCTAATGCAAAGAAATGAAAACTCTAAAGGATCCATTCCTAATTTGGGAGAATCATTTATGATCCTCGATGGTCTGATTCAACGCTGATGAAATGCACAGTGTTGTGAATTACTGTGTTGACATGAAATCCAAATCATTGGTTTGCCAACATCGTCCTTTCCCATCGTAAACTAAAATAATTATAGAATCTTCGGTTTCCTCTCGGTTTTCCTCCTTCTTGTCAGCATCTTGGAGATATTTTCAGTGCTATACTCTTGTCTGTTTGAAGAACATTGCTTCTCTTAAACATCAAAACCTCCTGTAAAACACCAAGAGTTTGATTTACAATTGTCATGGCAAACAGTTAAGGGAACGTATGGATAACAGTGAGTGAGTTTAGATTTACGCCGCACCACTCCATCTATATGGCGGCGGTCTGTAAATAATCGAGTCTGGTCCAAACAATCCAGCCCTCAACAGCATGAGCATCGATATACGCAATTGGGAATCGATGACATGTGTCAATCAAGTCAGCGAGCCTGAACACCCGATCCCGTTAGTCGCCTCTTACGACAAGCATGGGCTACTGAAGATCAGTTCTAACCCGGATCTTCACTGGTGGTATGGATAACAACTCCTGTATATTGCATTAAGGGACCTTACCATGTGGATTCTTAAACCGTTATCAAGTTGAAGTGACTAACACAAACTTATGGGAGGTACATATGCATTATACAAGATGCGGATTAACATTCATAATGGGTAATGAGTGAATATGGTTTTAGCAATATTCCAGTAATATCACTGCGGGTGACACCAGAAATGGTTTCATACAATGTACCCATGTTGCGAAAAGAACCCGGATCTTCGGCGTGATAAGCGATCGCTTTAACCAATAGGCTACCTTACAGCCCCACGACATTTACGACCGTGTGATGGCCTGTTCGTGATATTGCTGGAATATTGCTAAAACCATACTCACTCACTCATAGTTGTCCTAAATATGATGTTATTAGTGCCAGAGTGAATGTGATCGGTTGTACGCCACTTTGAACAATATTTCAGTTTTTTCTCGGCGTTTCTTTTTAATGAAGAAGGAGCCTCAAATGTTAAGGCTTTGGTGATACGGAATACCCTGAAAAACAGTCGGCGTGAACTGGGATTCGAACCCATGATCATAGGCGTGACGGCTGCCTTAGGAACAAACTTGAACAGCGAATTTCATGAATGTGATGTCACAGGAAGACAAATAAATAATAATAATATTAAGGACGACATGATTACTACAAAGCCATACAGTACATCTTCTACGAAAGTGATTTGTGTTACGAACAGAAAGCTTTGGGTTTCACATGTAGTATCTGTACGAAAACACTTATAGGAAAGTGCAGTCCCAAATTACCCTAAAGGATCTCGTAAAATTGGAACATAGACAAAATAATATTGATACATTTCACAGCTATGTAGTTTTCTATGATAATCAATAACATCACTTCATTACTTCAAATCCTAATAAACAGCAGTTCGTCAAAAACAAAAGCATTAAAGCAGAAACTCTGTAATTTAAAAAAAAGTTAGTTCATGTCGATGTGAATGTATCATTGTCCTGGGAAAACAGAGTCTTTGAATGGCATTATTATGGCATTCATTAAGGTTGTTGTTTTTTATTTTGTTCGTTTATCATTATGGCGCCGTGAGGATACGTGCATATTATGACACCAGATTAACTTTGAAACAAGGGTGCATCTCACACAAGTCTCATCTCTCAGGTATAAGAATGATGTCGACATTGTTAATGTTTACATCAGCATTTTGAAGGTCATATATACCAGGTTATTGGAGACAGAGAATGCTATGTTACATCAGAACATCAGTAAGGCTTTTGCAAATCAACAAAATGAAATGAAGTAATGTAGATATATAAAAAATGTGATGATGATGATGATGATGATGGTGATGATGATGATTTGTTTCGCAATCCTGTGTCTTACCGGCGTGTCTGGCATGCGTTCAAACTTCACAGCTCTCAGGACATGAACTAGGGCTATTTTAGACTGAACCTGGGCAAGACGCATACCAATACATTTTCTCGGACCATATCCAAAAGCTAGGAAGGTAAGAGGATTGTACTTTTCATCATGCCTGAAAAAACATTGATGACAAACATACATTCAGATCGTTGACATCAATCAAATATCATATTTTAATATTTTTAAGATACAATCAACAACCCTAGGAAAAACATGTAAAATATTTTACTTACAGTTGAGGGAAATCATTTTGCTAATCTACAATAAATTTGAGTTCCTTATCCGTCTTTCATACTGAATGGAAACATAGTATAACGAAGACATGCGGGCCATTTTCTTTCATAATGATGGATAGTGGCATAGCTTTACTCGTTTCCTAGTACGTGGGTGTCTACCCAAGTCATGCTTGGTTTTTATAACAATATCCTCTGTTAGGCAAGTCTGGTGGACAGCCTTACCTTTCTGGTTTAAAGGAATCAGGATCCTTGAAGAGGCGAGGGTCTCTGTGAAGAGCGAACGTTGGGATTAAGACAATTTGACCCTTCGGGATTGTCAAACCCTTGATCTGAATTGTCTCTGACGCTCTGCGATGTAACCTTAAATAGAGTACACAGATGTAGGTTCTGACGGTGACGGTGATGCATGTACTTAACCTGAAGGAGGAGTCTCAGACGTTCGTTGCCTTGGTGATACGTGATACCCTGTTTACGTCCAGGGCGCCGTTGTACAAAGCAACCTTAGCGCTACGCTATGTAATGGTATTGGAGTTACGATCACCTTAGCGCAAAGATCGCTTTGTACAACGGCAGCCAGTAAGAACTTTTGGAGTTGACTATTTCAGGGCGTCCTTTCACAAAGCACTAAGGTGATCGTAAATCACTAAGGTAACCCTATTGCAATGTTAAAGAATGTGAGTTAAGGTTAACCTTAATATAAGTTCCTTCGTGAAAAGAGTCCCTGAACAGTAGTGTGTAATACAGCCACGATCTGTCAAACTCAGGCATACGGCCGTTTAATGGTGTCTGTCCCACTCCTCCTGCAGCACCTGCCCATGTTCAGCCAAGGTGGTCTGTGGCTTATGCCACTGATGTCACAGACATGTTCAGTGGGGTGAAGGTCAGGACCCATTGCTGGCTATGATACTCTATGGATGGAGTGCAGCTGTAGGTGAGGGTGGATTCGCACTTTGTGATCACTGGCGTTGTCGAACTGGAACTCAAAACATCGACCCATATGCCTTGCAAACGGGACGACAAAAGTCCTCAGTGTGCTGACCCTATAAGGAAACCCTTTCTTTTTGAGGGTGAAGTCAAATTATTTCAACGGTATGATCAGCAGATTCAACAAGATTCACATGGAAGTAATGGTACCCATAAATTTATCGACCTTCTATGAAAAATATAGGGCACTCCACACTCCACTAGGCTGTATGACAAAACGGATGATTTCAACTTTCCAGTAGTCAACTTCCCTTTCATGTCGAGCAATTCCATCAGCTCCATCCTGTGGTGTATACATTTCACTTCGTTTGCGGTACAATCGAGCATGTTCTTTTTATCAGGATTTCAAAGGGCGTCATGTCACTCTTGCTCAGAAGCTGTTTAATCAAGGTTACAGCATTCAAGGCCTCAGTAAAACTTTCAAGAAGTAATGTGGTAGACATGTGGAAGAAATTTCCAAATTTGTTGCATCAGTGACAAAAATGATGTCCGATGCAATTCCCTATTTGGGCGTAAACCATACGTTCCCGAATTATTTCAGGTGAACAATTTACTTTGCTATGTCTATGATGGGTGCCACCTTTTCGCGAACACCTGGTATCATCACTATTTTATAATGATTCATAATATCACATAGTAACAAGGTCATCGTATCACATGGTAACAAGCACTGGATTGTCTTTGTACAGCTGAAGTACTGCTGAAACAAATGTCTGCTCATGATACAGTCATAATTGTATAATCGACTCGGCTTTTGGCAGAGATTTCTTATGAATGTGGAAAGGTTTTGCCTCTGTTATTTGGTATTACGTTTAACGGCCATATGGGTCTCGCATAAAATATATCGAAGCTCTAAGACGTGATATTTGCGTTTGTATTTTCATGATCTACCGTTTTGTTTGAAGTGTATCTATGAATCGTCAAAGTCAGATAATACCCAGGCGTAACCTATTCTATTGGCAGTAAAAAGCAAAATAGTGGTGAAAATGTGTTTTAAGTAAATGTATTTGAATTAAAAAGTGAACGTAAGCGATGACGCCATCGGCATTCAGACCTGATTCGATGAGAACGCCAATTCAGTGCACTGAAGAAACAAAACCTTTGTGCTGCGATTATCGTAGACTTACACGGTAATCGGTGGATACAGTCGGAGTGTCTCGGTGATGACGTTGTCCAGGTACTTCAGTTTCCCAATGTTGTCGTAGTTGGGTTCATCCTGTGGCAAAGAGGACTTTAACTGACATCGCAGATTAATCGAATATTTTATGCAAAATCTCTTTAACACAGAGAAACCCCAAAGTGAATACGTAAACCTTAGAAGTTGCTTCACTAAAGAACCATTACCATATTTTATTTCTATTTTTTTAGTTCTTGTGCAATTATGAAGCATTGAGTGAGTGAGTTTAGTTTTACACCACACTCAGCAATATTCCAGCTTTGTGGCGGCGGTCTGTAAATAATCGAGTCTGGACCTGACAATCAAGTGATAAAGAGCATGAGCATCGATCTACGCAGTTAGGATACGATGACATCTGTCAATCAAGTTAGCCAGCCTGACCGCTCGATCCCGTTAGTCGCCTATCACGACAAGCATGGGTTACTGAAGGTCAATTCTAACCCAGATCTTCACGGGTCTTATGAAACATTGAGAAATAAAAGTCGTTACGTTCACACAAAGTGTTCTGTTTTTGCCAAGGTATTAATAACTATCTTTGAGTCTAATTTCCAACATGCGCTGTTAGAATTAGAACCCTGCCGTCCAATAATGATGTTAAAAATATACTCATATTCGGGGGAAATTTCTACCATGGCTATATAATGTACAACATAGTAAGCAAATATGGTTATCACTTTTAAACTCAACAGATATACTAAGCAGCAAAAGAAACGTCAGTTTGGACTTTTCCTTCGCAGAAACGGATAACTGCAAACTCATTTCATATTTTGATTGTATATTTTTGACAACATCTCCAACTTTACCTTAGCAAAGACATTCCTTCCCTAACCCAGAATGGAACCATGGAAATGGTCTCAAAAGCGCAACCTGACCTCGGAGATGGTACGGTGTTCTCCATATTTTTCATGCAACTCATGCTGTAGGACCAGCTCTATACAATGGACCCCCAAACCTGGTTGAAACATTCACATTACAACGTCAGCTGGATGAAGCGACTCACGCCAACTCAGAGGAACCAGGCGCTAGGAGACTTGAAGCTGGCTGCACTGCACAAACCGTTGCCAATCACTTCCGGGTCAACGTTGGGACCATCTACAGGCTGCAGCAATGTTTCCGGGCCACCAACACCACAAATGATCGTCCCCGTACTGGCAGACCAAGGGTGACCACAAGACGACAAGACCGCCATGTTGTGCGCGAGCATGTACAGAATCCCTTCATGCAGGCATCCGAAACAGCACGCCAGACAGTGGGAACACACGGAAGACCAATCAGTACTGATACAGTACGCCGACGTCTTAACAGCGGGAACCTCCATTGCCGTAGACCTTACCGTGGACCTATCCTCACAGTCGTCATCGGCGTGAACGTCTACAGTTTGCCCTACAACACCAAAACTGGCGATACAGACAATGGAGAACTGTTCTGTTCACAGATGAGAGTCGGCACTGCGTATCAACTGCAGATGGCAGAACAAGAATATGGCGATGACGTGGCCAGCGTTACTCAGACCAATGTGTTATGGAAAGAGACTCATGATGAGGTGCAAACATCATGGTATGGGTTGGAAGAGGCCTGAACCAGAGAGTGGGTCCTGTGGTGTTCCAGAACCTTGGTCCAGGGAGAGGAGACGGCATCACAGCGGTGCGCTACATCGACCAAGCTCTCAGACCCCACGTCATACATTTCGCACGTCACCGGAACAACATTTTCCTGCATGATAACGCCCGGGCCCATGCAACCAGAGCTACACGGGACTTCCTACAGCAGAACGGTGTCAACATTATGCAGTGGCCAGCCCTCAGTCCTGATTAAAACCCAATTGAACATCTTTGGGATGAAATTCAGAGGAGACTGAATAATGTCATACCAAGGCCGAACACAGCCGATTTATTGCGCCAGGCCTTTCTCAGGGTGAAGTTCCAGGTGCCAATGGCCCTCATCAATCGATTGGTGCACTCTATGCATAGACGCTGTGCTGCAGTTATTGCCGCTCGTGGTGGTCACACTAGATACTGAAGTTAAGAGTCTGAATGGACTGCAAACGTTCACGTAATGTCTTGAAATTGTGCTGACTTATTTATTGATGTGTCAAAATATTGCACACAAAAAATGTTTTTGATCCGCTTATTATGTCCATTTCTGTAATGATTTGATTTACAGTGCCTATCTAATTTTAAAATTCGTACTGACGGGGTTTTTTTGCTGCTGAGTATATAAACATCATTGAATCTGTTGTCTTGTACTTGAAACATGTTTTCCTCGTACATAATTCCGGTAAATCACGTGACTAAGTGATTAAAAATTTTATTGTAATTTTGCATTAGGTCATTTGGCCCATAATACCGAATTAAAGAATCTTGAATCTAATAATGATGTTTAGACATACAACACTTTGAAACTATTACTGACATTCCCCAACACTTCTTTGATTTCATTATACGCCTTTTCCTGAGCATCCTGGTTCATTGCAAAGCTGTAGGACACAAACGTCAGTGTTGCAGCAGTTGTTTCGTATCCGGCGATAAAGAATAGCATGCCTTGGGCAACTATTTCATCAGTCGATAAACCTGTAAAGTTAATACAGAATACGCAAATGATGCTTCTCATTAGGTCATAAGATCGGATTAGATCGTACCAATAAGGCGTATATATGGCTTGGCTGGTCTTATTGACCAACGTACATCTAATCTCATATAGTAATACACCTAACGACAGTAATGTTTACCTATACCTTGCTGCCAAAGTGTTAGAAGGATCACGAAATGCGTGCCAGGATTCGATTATTTCATATTTGCCCTGAATACGATTCCTGAATTTGTTACCAACTATCGCCGTTGAATTTACAAAGGGGGAACGTCAACGATATCCACAACTCTAAGTAGGTCTACACCTTTAATTTGTTATAACGTTGACTATGGATAAAAACGACTCACCCAACCTTGAGTGTCTCTGGACTTACGTCTGGCTGTATGTTTTTCTGTGATCTGACCATTGGCTGTAAGGTCTCTGTCCATCTCTATTTCCGCGTCCACCAATAGTTGCAGGAAGTCAATTCTCTTCTGTTAATACAATGTCATGCATACTTTAAAAAAATCAATCTGAGATTAAGGCAACCCTGGGTATGTGCCTTTTATAAGCATCGCAACAATGGTAATGCTTATATTTTATTTTGTATGTTGTTTTACGCCGTACTCAGCAATATTCCAGCTATATGGCGGCGGTATGTAAATAGTCGAGTATCGACCAGGCAATCCAGTGATCAGCATCACGAGCATCTACGCAGTGGGGATACGATGACATGTGTCAACCAAGTCAGCGAGCCTGGCCACCCGATCCCGTCAGTCGCCTCTTACGACAAGCATGGGTTACTGAAGACCAATTCGAACCGGAATTTTCACAGGTAATATCATTATGAACACCTCACAGGACCCCAATCTCAACTGTAATCCCTAACCTCTCGTTCATCCGTTGTGTCGTTCTGTCGCTGTTTGACAATTTCCGTGACGTTTCTATGAAAAAAGTCTACGACATGTTGTGGAAAGATTCCATATCCTCGCTTTCTTAAGATCCGGGCAAGCGTTGGAATGAAACCTTAAAAAAACGTTATCATGTATATTTGAAAACTAACCAATGTCATGTGATCACATTACCGAACCCGTTCTCACTGCTCCACAAGAACGACATCGACTCTATTAGTGCAAGTAATATCCATATAATAAACAGTGCGCATATAAATCCATAAATAAATAGATCCAACTTGAATTCCACGCTCATGGCAATGTCGCAATTATTGTCGTAATCTCTACTCCTGCCAATGAATGGTTGTATTGCCTTTTTCTGTTCCTTCCATTTAATGGTTGTGACTTAGTTTCATGACAATTTCCATCAACAACTGCTGCTGATTTTTGAATTCGTTGTACATGTTTCCGGCATGGAAACCATGTATTCTTCATCTGAACAAACCACAGACAAAAAGAACGCACTATTCTATGCATCCAGAAATACACCCAGGACATTGCAGTAACAAATAAAACAACCGTTGTAAGTACTAACAAAATAAGCTCGATTAAACTAACGTTATCTGTAAGAACACTGCTCTGACAAATATAAACCGTGAACACTGTCGGCTGGGGTTTGATTGCAATGGCGATAATTTAACACAAACTTCGGTAATGTTTCCCTTCAATCATATATATGACTATAAAGTAGTCATAAACTATTTGTACAGCTAAGTGGCGTTACGGACAAAGTATGTCCAAAGCATTATTCCCCCGGTTAAGTAAATCTGCCTAACTGTTTAATTCCACCGGGTACCCATTCACTGCTGGGTGAACAGAGGCAATTTTGAACATACACTTGCCTAAAGTGAGACCACATGTGTCACATCTGCTTCGTTGGGGAACGGAAGCCGTAGAAACTCTTAGGAGTTAAGCTGCCAAACACGGTACCCATCCACGGTCTCTCTGTGACCAACGTTGCTTAACGTTAACTGATTTGTGATATGGGCTCAGACCACACAAGTTAAATACCCCTACAAATATTGCCATAGAGCTGCAGATCTCGTCTCGATAAGTATGAAACACTCTGTCGCCAAATGACACCGGAAGATCACAAGCTTATTATCGAGTAAACCCTCCAGAAGCCCGGACAACCAACACCATGCTGGGAGTCATCCATCGCGGAAACTGCAGTCATGCCTGATGCTAAGCTGTGTCAACTTCAGATTCAGTTCAGGGAGTGCAAAAACTTCATCCGACAACTAAGGATGTCACGAGGACTCATCAGATCTGATATGATGGCGGGCAGGGTCACTGCATTGTTCTGGAAGTATGTTGTCGGTACAGCACATTCGTGCGTTAGTATCCATGTAATAAGGTTTTGTGGCAACAGGATGGTTCTCGAACTGGTGACAACAAGGGAATAGATGCCTCCAATACATCAGTCGTTTATTCGTGAATCGTCCCCGATTCCTAGTCCGTTTTCTAAACACCATGCAACATGAGGGCTCAGATGGTCATATGCTGCTACGGGGTGCTCAATGAGGACAGCATGGTCTCAGGCGGTCTCATTTGGTTCCCCGTATACCCGGTGGACAACCATAAACACCATTCTTGTAATACTCACCATTGCCATTACAGGACAATAATAGATGACAATATAATTCATTACCTTAAGGGACATGAAATCGAGTGCATCTACTGTTGTAAAACTAAAGGGGAAGGTACCTGCCATCATTGACGTCAATCTTCTCATATTTGATAGTTCAAACATTTGTTTAGCATGGGCAACAAAAGGGTTGTCGACTTCATTTTGAGAATCGATCTTTATACCAAATGCAATTCGTGAAATAACATCCATGGTGAACGCTTCAAAGAATCTGAAAGAGATTATGTTAGATTAATACGCGGCATTAATTACATACATTCATCAAAGGATCACATCATAATTGCCTTAGGTTATTTACAATACAGTGATTCCGGTCATGGTTGTTTATCTCTTTGAAATTGGCGTGTGAGTTAGTAAATGAGTTAGGGTTTACGCCGCTTTTAGCAATATTCCAGCAATATCACGGCGTGGGACACCAGAAATTGGCTTCACACATTGTACCCGTGTGGGGAATCGAACCCGTGTTTTAGGCGTGAAGAGCAAACCCTTCAACCACTAGGCTACCGCCCCACTTCACATCAAGGACGTTTCTGAGAACCTTCATGATATTATGTATAAATTATGATTTTATGTGATAATCCGTCATTGTGGATTCTACAAAAAGCTGTGGAATGACAATAATGGCGTAAAATGAGACTCACAAATTCAGTAAAGCATTTTACAGTTATGATTCACTGCATTGTTGAATGCACTGGAAACTGTTTGTAGATTGTAAGGAATCCATAATGTCATTGTTAGTTAGAATATACAACGTGATCAGTGCATTACCCAAGGTGTAAAACAGCTCGTTGCACGCATTTCTGATGCAATAGCACAACTTTTCAGTTATTATAGGCATTCGATCATTATCAGGTGAGATCAAGTCACAAACACATGCAAATGTAGGTAAATTGTTTAATAACGTTTAGCACGTTATAATACTTACTGTCTCGTAATCACCACTTCATTATTCTTGACGGCATCTGATAAGTTTTTAGAAAGAGTCTTTGCGGAATTGTTGATGCTAAAGCACATCTAAAAATAAAAAGGATGTTCCATACATCATCTAATGATCTGCAATGAATCATTTTGGGCACAATTTTTGTAGACACGGGAAATCTATCAGGGTATTTATGAAGTTTGGAAGATATAAAAATTCATATTTGAAATTTCAAGATGCTAAGCTGAAGTATCAAGATATATTCAGTCGTTATCTTGAAATTTCAAGAACAATTTAAAAAAAAGAAAAATGCTTCCGTATAAGAATCTATCTGCTGTAATAAATATTGATCACATCGCAAATGGGGTATCCATTTGCCAAGTCGTGTCGCATATTTGGGAATTTGGGATATCAAAATTTAAAATTTAAAATTGCAATGTAATTTAAACATATTTCAATCGGTGAGATTACAATGATGTATGCTCAGATTGATGGTATCAGTTTCGATGGACTGCACCCGTCGATATATCTACATAGTTTGTCGGGACGGTTGGGTAGCCTAGTGGTTAAAGCCGAAGGCCCTGTTTGATTCCCCAATGTGTACAGTGTGGGAAGCCCATTTCTAGTTTGCCCTGTCGTGATAGTGCTTGAATATTGTTGCGTCAAAGTTGCGTTAAACTACACTCACTCATTCACTCACTCACTATAAGTTTCACCCATATCATGTACAGATACCCAACACGGACTGATACATACCAGTCTCAGTTTAGCGGTGCTGAAGGTGGGTGTCATAAGGTTTCTCACTCTTTTCCAATGGGCATTTTCCAAGTAAACCACAGCCAGATTAAATGGATAAGGTATGATTATGGATCTCTGAAAATAAATTTAACTTTTATTTTTCTGAACACTTGTCAACTGTACTCACTAGTTGTCTGTGTGACTGAGTTTTGACAATCCATTTTTAGCTTGTAGGTCATTGTTCATACCACTCTTGTTCAAGTATTGCTTGATTGAAGTTCTTTTGGCATTCAAGGCCTCAGTTTTATTGTAGACATGTTTAGGAAGTTGCCAAATTTGACGCATCTTAAAGCAATTTCTATATGTTTATAAGTAACGTAAATAGGACATATTGCTTACCATCCTGTTCCTGAAAACGTTGAAACTCTTGACAAAAACCACATTCAGAATGTCCAGATCGGATATGACCAGGGCTGGAACCTTGCCTATGAAGACTCTGTAGCAGTGAAACAATAGCGGGCATAGTTATGATAGCAAGGGCCAGTGTTTTAAACAAAAACATGTGTTCATACAGATCAAATGATAAGACAAATGAGTGGAATTTGTAGACTCTTGTTTTCTGATCGACCCGTAAAGGTCCGGGCTAGAATTGATCTTCAGTAACCCATGCTTGTCGTAAGAGGCGACTGACTGGATCGGGTAATCAGGCTCGCTGACTTGGTTGACACATGTAATCGCTTACCAGCTGCGCAGATCGATGCTCATGCTGTTGATCACTGGATTGTCTGGTCCAGACTCGTTTTTTACAGACCGCAGCCATAGAGCCGGGATATTGCTGAGTGCGGCATAAAACTAAACTCACTCACTCACTGTTTTCTGATCATATTTCTATGTAAATTCCTAGATGATGTATTTATTCAACGATATGAATTAGAGGTGATATTGCCATTATATTCAGGGTCGATTATAAGTGCTCTTCAGCAACCAATGCTTGTTGTGAGTGAAAACTTACGGGATCGGATGGAAGAGCTTGCTGACTGTGTCCAAATATACATTCTATTCAAAATCACTTTCAGGCCATGTGTATGACTAAACGTTTGTAATAAGGATAGTGATGTGAGCCTACCCAAATACGCTTCCATACGTCTGTTTCCAGGTGGGGAAGTTGGAGAAGAGTGACTGTAGGAAAAGAAACACAAATATATTATCGTTCCCATTTTATTCCAGACGAAATCATCACATTTCATGTTTCACTGCCATGAGGTATGTTTTGAGATATTGTGTGGAACGCAACAGCAAGTCAGGGAAACTAAAAAGGTCCTTCACACTCTGTAACTATGGGGGAATCGAACTCTTTAACCACTAGGCTACGTAAACGTTTTGAGGAGAAACCTTTTCGTATTGATAATATGTGAAATGAAAAGAAGTAGGAGAAAAACCAGAACGTGGTTCTGAAAATGACGTATTCGTAAATCAGACCACATAGAACCCTTCCCCCTTCCCCATCCCTCGCGCGTCCCCCGACCCTGCAGCGCCATACATAAGTAAAGTAATTATTTTATCAATAATACAAAAGTAATTGTCCAACAATGACTCTTTCTAAAACGCCATGACTATTGTGCTCTTTTCGAGAAAGCGTAATACTTTCAGAAAATAGCACATGCTTGTCTGTCATAGGTGCGGGACCAGCGCCTAGATTTCAACTTCTCGTGATCCAGGCGGTATTTCATTTTTCTCAGACCAATATATAGGCGTTAGGCACATGCACCTTAGACTTGACAAGACCTGGGGACAGACCATACGAAACACAACATTCTCTTTGTGCTTCTGTCAATATACTGAAAACAATAAATAAGGGAACACCGCGCAGTAGCAGTGTTGTTTATGTATTCGCAGAGTTTCACCAACATTGTCATTCAAAACATATAAACAAGAGTAAAGGAACACTTGTACTTTCATGTGTTGCCTCATTTGTTTCCCTCAGTATATAATTGACGTAAATACCATTAACAGTCAAGGGTGACTATATCACTCTTGTTATTTTATGAAAAGCTGATCATCACTGACCTTGTCATTTAACGAAACGGTTAGTATACTAGGCACATAAAGAAACTGTGCATACAAAAATTTAAATTAAAAATGTATCAAACCTGTGTAGACACATAAGGATTTAAACTCAGATATTAGTGATATGTATCCAACATGCATGCACGTGCCACGTTCCGTGATGTCAGTGGTTTGACCTTGAGACGTGCAAGACGTTGTTGCACGTGCATTCCGGGAAAGAGAAACAGAGCAAATGAATGCCACACAATACTGTCACTTTGGAAAGCTCAACCCCTGCCCTTGCGATCGTTCAAACAATTAAACGGCTATTGAAACTCATAGCATGCCAAGCCTTACGTCTGCACAACGTCATGAGGCCATTGGGATGGTCCGTGGGGGAATGTCTCAACGACAAGTGGCTGCACATTTCCACTGCCATCGGAACACCATTTCTGCTCTGGTGAGACGCTACCAGAACACAAATGACGTCATCGATCGGCCACGTTCTGGACGTCCACGTGTAACAACGTCAAGACAGGACAGATGGATAAGGGTGACCCATCTTCGCCATAGGTTTCAGACTGCAGTGATGACTGCCCGGACCACCCTAGGACTTCGCCGTATCCACCCCAACACAGTTCGACAACATTTACGTCATCACGGGATCAGACCACGACGTCCCGCCATACGGCCTATCCTGACACAACGTCATCGACAGGCTCGCCGAATGTGGTGCCGAAATCATGTTCGCAGACCCTTGTTTTAGTGGAGAAATGTTGTTTTTACAGATGAGTCCAGGTTTAACATTTCCCATAGTGATGGACGTCAACGTGCCTATAGACGCGTGGGAGAACGTTATGCACAGGCCTGTGTCTTGGAGAGTAATCGCTTTGGTGGTGGTTCCGTGATGATATGATTTGGGGTGAATAAAAGCACACCAAAGAACTCCTTTGGTGATTGTTCAGGGCAACTTAACTGGTGTGGGCTACAGGGATCAGATTCTTCGACCTGTGGCGATTCCTTTTCTGCAACGTCATGGCCCTGGGTTAACATTCCAACAGGACAATGCCCGCCCTCATACGGCAAGGGTTGCTATGGATTTCTTGCAACACCACAACGTTGACTTACTGCCTTGGCATGCAAATTCACCGGATCTCTCCCCGATAGAACATGTTTGGAACGAGATAGATCGACGTCTACGCCGTCTTCCTCATCCGCCAGATAACGTCCTTGACCTTGCAACAGAACTTGAGAGAATCTGGCGTGACATCCCACAAGCCTTCCTTGCACGTTTGATAGGCTATATGCGTCGTCGATGCACTGCTGTCCTCAATGCCGATGGTGGACATACCCGTTATTGAGGTTGTGACATGGTCGTTTGACCCCTGTCCCGCTTGAGGACTCGTGACGTCATTGTGACTGACTTTTCAGTTGAAATTCTCCCGACTTGTTATGGTCTCATGATCCCTCCATTAAGGTTTATATGTACCTTTGACATTGTTATCGTACTTAACAACTGGGATAATATTTTGACAATGCACAGTTTCTTTATGTGCCTAGTATATTTATATGATGTAAGATATTTGCGTTTTCTGAATTGCTAACAACACCGTATATATATTGACAAAAGCAATGAAGTACGTACAAAATGGTTTTAATAAGTATGTCTAAACCTACAAAACTAAAGCTGCTTCCAATAAAAGGATACGGTGTTGGACCAGGGATGCACCGCTTCTTGAAGTAATCATAGTTCCAGGTTGCATATCTGTAGAATAAATTCAACCAAGATAATTTAACCTTTAAGGTTCTGAAGATAACGTGAGAAGAAAAGAAGTTTAACGCAATATTCAAGACGAGAGTGTTACATGCATACATGCGTGTGTTTGTAATACCATGCCACAGTTTGACACGGGTATCCCACTCAGTCACAGTCCTGCCTCAATGTCAGTGAAACTACCACCATCTTGCAACGTGTTTTGGTGTGACGGATGACATGTCTACCTGACCACGTATGTGGTTTATATTGGCATGAAACACATTGACATTTTAAAAGGAAAACCAAGTTTTATGGATAGTCAACTTTTTTATTGAAAAGAATGCGACGTTTCGGTATAGGTACTAACACCTTTATCAAGCAAGTTTATCTTTACAACTTCTAGAATGCCTTTCAAAGAAGCTATACGCCGTCTCTCTTTGCATCAGTTGCATGATAGAACTTGGTTTTCCTTCATCTTTACAGCTTCTAAAATGACTCTCAAAGAAGACATTTTAAAAGTATTGTCATGATTCTTTCAATATGGGTAGCTTAAGTGTAGAATGTAAATATATAATGTCTTCGCTAGAAAACTACGATTATCAACTAAACCAGACTCCATTGGATGTAAGAGGCAAATTAACGGTTATTGTGAGTGAGTTTAGTTTTAAACCGCTTTTAGCAATATTCCAGCAATATCACGGAGGGGGACACTAGTAATGGGTTTCGCTCATTGTACCCATGTGGGGAATCGAAGCCGGATGTTCGGCGTGTCGAGCGAACTCTTTAACCACTGGGCTACTCCACCACCGTGAAATATATATGAATAGATACAGGTGATGCCGCTTGTGATGACAGTAGGTACAGGTGATGACACTTGTGATGACAGTAGGTACAGGTGATAATGTGTTCGAATCTACACCCAAACGTTGCCTAAACCGTAATGTTGCAGTTGGTTTGTCTCTGTAAAAGGCACAAACTTCTGAATACCGCTTCAAGTTTTGCCATATTTGAATAGATTCAAGTAGTTATTGTCAACAATATATGCGTATATTCCATCGAAACCCCTCATTCTGAAGACTGTGCAGGGTCCGCTCGGTCGTGTCAGATACTGCAGCTGACTGTAAAGAGTTGCTTCCCTTAGGCCATGAATCTGTGGCCGACGGTCGAATAAAAATGACTCGCCGTGACTATGATTTTACGTTCTCAGCATGTTCTACATATATCCATAAGGGCATCAACAAAAAGGGGGGGGCAGTTGGGTGGCCTAGTGGTTGAAGCGTTCGCTCGTCACGCCGACGACCCGGGTTCGATTCCCCACATGGATACAATGAGTGAAGCCCATTTCTGGTGTCCCCCGCAGTGATATTGCTGGAATATTGCTGAAATCTGCGTAAACCAGAACTCACTCACTAACTCACCAAAGAGATAAACATCCATGAACTGAATCACTTCAAACTGACACACACTGATAACAATATGAAACTCCGATCAAAATGCCGTTAAATTCCAGCGCTTCATCTTCGGGAACTAGGGGTGAAGACTTTGAACCTGCTGTTGGCGTAAGTAACTTTCCTGAAGCCAAGCGCTTGTGCATACAAATGCATACTTACGTATAGGTCAGCACAATGGCCGTCAGGGCCAGAAGGAGATACAGTGGGACGTCGACCAGACCCAAGATCTCCATGTTGATGTGAGGCGTTAATCGTGCACGTCCCTCCTAATGAACAAAACGATAGGAACTAGGGGCTGTCCACGCATTCAGGGCTGCGTTGAAGGGCAAGTCCACTGATGTTGGCACAGCGAGGGTTTTTAACATGTCCTTGTGGACATTATTAGGGAGCCTAATTAATTGTACCCTGCAGAGAGTATTTTGATATATTTAATTAAATACTCAGGGGGCACTATTTCAATTAAACTGCGTTCGACTTTTCAATATAAGACCAGCTGGACATGGTTAGTTCAGCTAGATACCGCAAATGCATCGAGGTGAGAACGGTATATAAATAGTAATATGTTCACAAATTGCCTAACTCTGTAACTGAGTAGTCTCTGTTTGACGTTACGCCGTACACCTTAACATTTGGAGACCTGGCATGTACATGTTACAGTAAATATTTATATTTACTGATTCCGTCATGGAATATGTATATTTACATATATATTGAAATCTACACTGATTCATCACATGTATTCATTGAAAATAATCCTATCTAATTGGCTTCGTTTTATGTTGTTATCTTCGTACATTAACACCTCCCACCCCTAGTCTTGGCTTTGTCATTACAAGATATTGTTATCTGTGTATATTCATCCAAGTATCTAATTGGCTTCGTAGTTATACTGTTATCTTTCTACATTCATCCAAGTATCTAATTGGCTTCGTAGTTATATTGTTATCTTTCTACATTCATCCAAGTATCCAATTGGCTTCGTAGTTATATTGTTATCTTTCTACATTCATCCAAGTATCTAATTGGCTTCGTAGTTATATTGTTGTCTTTCTACATTCATCCAAGTATCTAATTAGCTTCGTAGTTATATTGTTATCTTTGTACATTCATCCAAGTATCTAATTGGCTTCGTAGTTATATATTGTTATCTTTCTACGTTCATCCAAGTATCTGATTGGCTTCGTAGTTATATTGTTATCTTTCTACATTCATTCAAGTATCTGGGGCGGTGGGGTAGCCTAGTGGTTAAAGCTTTGGCTCGTCAAGCCGAAGACCCGGGTTCGAATCCTCACATGGGTACACTGTGTGAAGCCCATTTCTGGTGTCCCCCGCTGTGATGTTGCTGGAATATTGCTAAAAGCGGTGTAAAACCAAACTCAGTCAGTCAGTCAGTCATTCAAGTATCTAATTGGCTTCGTAGTTATATTGTTATCTTTCTACATTCATCCAAGTATCTAATTGGCTTCGTAGATATATTGTTATCTTTGTACATTCATCCAAGTGTCTAATTGGCTTCGTAGTTAAATTGTTATCTATCTACATTCATCCAAGTGTCTAATTGGCTTCGTATTTATATTGTTATCTTTCTACATTCATCCAAGTATCTAATTAGCTTCGAAGTTATATTGTTATCTTTGTACATTCATCCAAGTGTCTAATTGGCTTCGTATTTATATTGTTATCTTTCTACATTCATCCAAGTATCTAATTGGCTTCGTAGTTATATTGCTATCTTTCTACATTCATCTAAGTATCTAATTGGCTTCGTAGTTATATTGTTATCTTTGTACATTCTCCCACCTTGCTTTGTGTAAACATGGTTCATCTATATATATTCACTCTGTGCACCTGATGAAGGAGCAAGAATAAGCCCTGAAACGTCGTACAAAGAAGTTATCTATGAAAATGTGTCATGCATTCATGTTCGTCAAACTTCTAAAAGCCTTTCAAGAACGTCATGCAAGTTATTACTTCTCCAGCTCATGATTCCTAAAAAAAATACTTATCTTGTTTTAATCCTGTTTAGTACGTCTGTTTATGACATCTCCTTATCATGACTCCCTAATTAAGACAATCATCTCTAGGCAGGTGTATTATGTCTGATTTTCCCAAAGAAATTCACATTTTCACCATGGATGAGATGAAGGTGAAAGCAGCGTTTCAAGCACAGCTCTATAAGAATAATCAAGCGAACAAGCGCGTGCTGATTCCAGTAAATATACATAATAACTGAAAAAAATGGGTAAGTATACATATTTACTGATTATACATATTTACGGTTAGTCACTAGTATCAATCACTGATGCGTTTCTTGCTATCCGATGATGGGCCTGTCATAGGTCAACACAACACTGCCCATGAATGTCACTTTCAGTGTATAGAATAACCAACTTGATAATTCCTCACTCTTGCTTGACAACGGTAGAACAGTCTATACCGAAACGTCGCATCAATAATATACTCATGCCAATAATGGTTGTCACCCCCTTCAATTTTTTTTAATTGGAGAGGGGGTGTGGGGTGGTGTGTGAGGTGTGTGGCTTTGGGGTGGGGAGGGGAGTGACAACCATTATTGGCATGAGTATATAATGAAGACGTTGTCATCCATTAAGTATCACACATTTCTTATCATTGATCTGAGATTATCTAAGATGTCAATCACACAGATTAATTTTCAAATTGTATCTACTACTTCCGATCTAAGTAAACAAATCATGGCCACTTCAGCTATTTGGTCAATAGTTCCAAAGTCAAATTTCTATATATGTCGTCAAGCAATATCCTAACAGCTCCAACAGACTACACGCTTGTTGTGTTTGGACAATTGTATTGATGTATTTTGAACTTGTACTTTTAAAATTTGTGCAATTTCATTTTTAAGGTGGTAAATGTTCTTTGGCAGTCAGTTTCCTACAAGTCACAATGCCTAGCTGAATGCTGCATGTTACAGTGTGTAACTAATAGTAACATATGTGATGGTGTATTTACCATACACCTGGTTTTTATTAAATTGTAAAGGGCGAAGGTTTGTAAACACAGAGATGAGGAGTTCAGCTGATTAAAGCATTGTTAAAATGAACTCACTCAATGGTTTGTAGAAGCTGAAGATGTTTTACGCCGCTTATAACTATATTCTAGTAATATCACGGCAGGAGACACTAGAAGTGGGCTTAACACATTGCACCCATGTGGGAAATCGAACCCGGGTCTTCGGCGTGACGAGCGAACGCTTTTACCACTGGGCTACCCCCGCAGTCTGGTAATGATTCGGTGATATTTGCAATGTGTCGGTGAGTGAGTGAGTATGATATCACTGTGGGGGACACCAGAAATGGGCTTCACACATTACAGCCATGTGGGGACTCGAACCCGGGTCTACGGCGTGACGAGCGAACGCCTTAACCACTGGGCTATCCCCCGCGGTCTGGTAATGATTCGGTGATATTTGCAATGTGTCGGTGAGTGAGTGAGTATGATATCACTGTGGGGGACACCAGAAATGGGCTTCACACATTACAGCCATGTGGGGACTCGAACCCGGGTCTTCGGCGTGACAAGCGAACGCCTTAACCACTGGGCTACCCCCGCGGTCTGGTAATGATTCGGTGATATTTGCAATGTGTCGGTGAGTGAGTGAGTATGATATCACCGCGGGGGACACCAGAAATGGGCTTCACACATTGTGCCCATATGGGGACTCGAACCCGGGTTTCAGCATGACGATCAGGCTACCCCACCGCCCTAATGTTTCGGCGAAATCATAATGCTGAATGAATATTTTCCTTCTACAGTTTAGTTTAGAAGAATGAAAACAATGCAAAGCGTCAGATGTTTTATTACGAAAATATAAAACTATAAAGAATATAACATAAAGATTTGCAATGTCGATATCGATATAAGCAGAAGGAGATCTAAGGTAGGTACTATCACATGCATAGGAGTGACAAAACATTCTGTTTGCGACAGTATGAATACGGGCCCGATAAAGAGAACCTTCTTCTGGTGTATCTTATATTCTAAACCTAAGTGACATTATTACAAAATCTTTGCGCTCACAAATATGAATTAGACAACTCTTAAGAACTAAGTTGTCATTGAATACATATTTTCTAAATTATTGTGTAAGAATGTGTACGAAACTGTCAATTGTTCAGGTGATATAAGAACATTACTCCTGTAGATATTTTGTGCCACCGGTCGCTATCATGTCTTTTAAGCATGGAGGTCCTGCTTGGATTCGGAGCGATTACGGTGGGACACAAAGCGGACGATGAGCACAAGGCAAAGGATGAGGAGTGTGAAGATAACAATTCCCATGGCAACCATGGCAGCAGTTGTCTGTCCAGTTATCTGACAGTTGCTGTTTGTCAGTCCAGTTTGACCTGAAAAGATTGAAGAGTTACATGAGTTGTCTAATGCAAGATGCCGATGTACTGAGCGTCATTAGACGATAAATAAGTTCCTGGAAAACTATAGAAACATTTAAACCGTTTAAATTAAACCGTCAAGACCCGGATTAGAATGGATGGTCAACAACCCATGCTTGTCGCAAGGCTCGCTGACTTGGTTGACACATGTCATCGAGTCCCAATTGCGAAGATCAATACTCATGCTGTTGATCACTGGATTGTCTGGTCCAGACTCGATTATTTACAGACCGCCGCCATGCAGCTGGAATATTGCTGAGTGTGGCGTTAAACAACAAACCATCCTCACAACCATTGGTTGAACAACTTTCAACCAATCAATTTGACTTTAATGTCAATAAAATATGTTAATAAGATAGTTGTAAAATCATTTCTAAACATAACGTCCTTACCGTCTTGTCCGAAAGACTGGGGGTCTCGCACAGTGATGAATCTAGTGATGACTTTCTCACCAGCACTAGCCTCTCGTTTCTTTCGGCCAAAGCCACTGGCAGCAACACCGTTACACGTTTCCTGAAATAGATGTTGTTGTTTTTGTTTACAGCTGGATAAAAAGAACATATTTGTCCATAAAATATAATCCAGTGGGAAGGGATTATATATATATATATATACTACTCACAAGTTATATGGCAGGACAGACTGTAATTTGAAATAAATGGGTGTTCTTTAAATCTTTGGATAAGTATAAATTAGGCGCTTCGCAAGGTTCCATCCGTATTTGGGTCACCAGCACGATGTACTTGAATGATACGGTAAACATTTCTTGTAAAATCCAATTTTCTTAATAAATGGTATACAATACCACCAATGGAAACTTCTGACATTTACTTAACATCTCAATCGTATGAGTTCAAAAAGAAACAAAATTATTCAGCAAAACCTGGTGCACACAAACCAGCATGAATGTAATAATCCACATTTTTGGACGCAAATCACGTGATTGTGTGACGTCATACCATCGAGTCGGAACCAACACAAAACACCAACAGGTGCCATGGTTGCGGTATCAACCAGGACGGTACATTTCAAGAAATCAGTTGATAGTCATTTCAGAAATCAGTTGATAGTCCCGGGGTTATAGTGCGCACATTATTGAACGAAAAATGAATATGAAACAAACCAATTTCACGTTTTTGCATACAGCCATTCCACGTTTTGCACTCTTCTGTGGGAACTCTACTGTAGCTATCTTATGTATTTTTAAAAGGCGATACCGAAAGGAACGATTGGAACGGGAAACTTTATTGACCATTTTTTATAATTCTTAGAAACTTTTCTATTAAACATTAGAATATTCAGAGGTCAATACTTACAGGGTTGCAGTCTGCATCATTTGCTGTGAGGCATACTTTAACGGTGAACTTGAAACCGACCTCGTCATTGCCATCAAAGTGGAAGGCTTTCAGTTTGAGAGTTATCTCCCTTTTATCTGTTCCGGTTGAGCCCCGGGTTGGGGCTTCAACGGAGATGGGATAGGCAGCATTATCCATGCAACTGTTGAACATAACAGAATTAATTTAAGTATCGACATACGTATTATAACTACGAATTAACTTCAATATATTTTTCGTTTATGTATGTATACACCTAAAAGTAAAACTAAATACCAGCCTTGCCCAACCAAAGTGTAGAAAATGGCATGAAAATTCTCTGAAAATCTTATACATGGACCACTGAACATCCGTGACGCCACTTGGGGTTCGCTGAAAGGGTAAGCATGTCCTGCCGTTTCACCTGCCATTTAATCAGTGTATCGAAAACGTAACTACAATCCGACGTCGCACACTAGCACGTGTGTCGGCCGCCTGTAAACGATTCAGTGATTAAATTTAGTTTTACGCCGCATTTAGCAGTATTCCAGTAATATCACGTTGGGGGACGCCGGAAATAGGCTTCTCACATTGTACCCATGTGGAGAATTGAACCCGGTTCTTCGGCGTGACGAGCGAACGCTTTAACCACTAGGCTACCCCACTGCCCCTATACTGGGCGTGATTATAGTGTGTACAAATAGTTTTACGTTTATATCTTCATATACCACCTTCAAAAACACAATGAAGTATATTCTCTTAAATAAATAGGATAACAATGAAAACGTCTCAGATTCCTTAATATTTATATCAACGCCAAAAAAGCCGTCGACAATAACACATGGGGTCGATCTGTGCCATCACGCAATAATGGAATCCAAACCACTTTAACCTACTATCAGATAATCATGTTACCGAATGCCAAATGCGTAGATCGATGCTCATGATCACTGGATTCTCTGGCCCAGACAATTTCAGACCACCGTCATATAACTTAACCATTACTGCCTTCCGCCGCCATATGTATCCCAGCTCGATGCTCATGCTGCTGATATTGCTTGAGACTGCGACCGCGCCATTAATATTGCAAAACAAAAACAAACAACCATCAGCTAATCAGATCGGAAGACAGTTATCTCCTTGTAGGTTTGGCTTACACTGTGATCAATTGTAACATAAATAAATATATTAAACATATTTACGTTGAAAATAAAACTATTTTATTTGATATTAAATCTGACATCATAACCCACGTAGGCTAAGGTAAAGGGACATAACTCTTGGGAGCTTAATTTCCCAAGCCCTTCACCACTGGTATAAGGGAGATAACTATACTTATTAAGGTGATAAGGGGCTTGTTTATATTTTGTTAATGGGCTAAAGGGCCATGACAGTACAAGGCCACCTTTTGAACCAATACAGACGAAAATAGATCACTTGCTGTGTTATTATTAGTATAGCTTGCATGTTTTGATAAAGAATGGAAGGTTTAAATGATGAACATTTACTGCACTAAGTACTACCCCTGAGGAATTAATGTAGCATGTCTTCGCTATTTATGATCAACTTTAACATAGTTTCATATACATACCTGGCGGTGACGATATTAAGAGTTTTCAAATCTGCAGTAACTGTGTTGTCAGCGACGGCTGTGACAATCCTCATCGACTCGTATTCTGCACATTAACAAACGATGTGTAAGCATACCTTCAAATGATTTGTTTACCATACACTTTGAGAAAATATAGATGTAAAGTGAAAGACTTCACAAAGTTCGAGGAGGATAACTCGTATAACTATCCCAGTTCACATTTGGAAAATCTTGACACATGTCATCGAATCCCAACTGCGTTGATTGATGCACATGATGCCGATCACTGGATTGTCTAGTCCATACTTGAATATTTACAGACTGCCGTCATATAGCTGGAATATTGCTGAGTGCGGCGTTATTTTGAAACGACTAACAAAACACAGCAGTTGGACAATGACACGTAATAAATCGTGGTTACAGAACCACTCACATGTCGTTTAAGACTAGAAAAGGAAAGGACGTTCGAGGATGTTAGATCTCATATTCGGATTTACGCAAACCTGGACACTATTAATATCATAATATAATAAAAAGTCTAATCTTATCCCAAATGTTTTACCTGTAGGTATTGTGAAGGTAAACACGATCTCAGAGCCCACGTTAATAGGCGTTGTTGAAACGACCGGTGAACCTCCGCTCGTCAGTGCCAAGCTCACGGGAGAGAACTCTGTTTCTGCAGATATTTCGTTCAGGTTTCCGGTCCTGCGCATAACACCCAATCAATATTATCTCACTAAAAGCCATATAACAGGCAGCATGAGCACGTCAATAGCTGTAAGTGACGTTACACAAAGTAACGTCGCTATTGCTATATAAAACGTGATTAAAACAAATTTTATCATTACAAATCGGTCACATTTTTTTTCAACATTTACTCTTAGCTCCTTGAGTTTGAATGCCACAAAGTCGTGACATGGTATACATTCGTAACATAGCCGTGTTTAAATTTAAAGACTGCATTGTATGATCCCATTATTCTGTTCTATTCTGTTTTATTATTGTGTTCTATTATTCTTCAACGGAATGTCAATTTGCTAACTGGGTTGAATCATATCAGTTATTTCAATATTTGACGCGTATAAACGACACTCACAGAGCCGTTGGATCAAGCTTGGCGATACCGCTGAATACCAAAGCCCCAGCGTGGTTGAACACACACTTTGCAGTGAAAAGGTCGTCGATGGAGGTCAAGAAATCACTCTCGTATTGAACGACGATAATGCGTGTGTATTCAGTTTTACCTCCAGTCTGTAAAAATATTGTCTAAGTTTAAGCCTGTATGACTACATATACCACAGATTGAAACATTACTTAACTAACATGATCATCCTGAAACTGAACCACTTTCTGTAATAAAATATTCCCGAGGGCTCACAAACGGAGAATAAATTTAATCATATAAAAATCATTTGATTGTTATAGTTGTGATAGTAGTAGCAGTAGTTGTAATAGTGTTTCCAGTAGAAGTAGTGGTACTAGTGGCATTGGTAGTAGTAGTCGTAGAAGTAGTAGTAGTAGTAGTAGACGTAGTAGTAGTGATAGTGGTAGTAGAGTAGTAGTAGAGTAGGAGTAGTAATAGTAGTAGACGTAGTAGTAGTAGCAGTAGCAGTAGTAGAAGTAGATGGAGACGAAGAAATAGTGTTTGGCTATTGTTGCTTAATGCAGCACTTGATAATAAAATATATAGCTTTATGACTACTAAAGGTGAGTAATCGCATCTGGATCAGACAACCATGTGACTGACGTCGATACATGCAGATGGACATGGCAGTCAGAGGGCCTGTCCACCTGGTCCCTTTAGTAGCCTCTTGCGACAAGCATGACTGTAGCAGTAGTAGCGTGGTATTGGTAGCATTTACATTGTAGTAGTCATAGTAGTCGTCAAGTAGTGGTAGTGATAGTAGTAGTAGTAGTAGTAGTGGTGGTTGTAAGATGCAGTAGTAGAGTAGTAGTAGCAGTAGTGGTTGTGGTAGAATTAGAAGTAATAGTGATGGTAGTAGAGCAGGAGAATAGTATAGTCAGTAGTAGTAGTGTAGTAGTAGTATAGTAGTAGTAGTAGTAGTAGTGGTAGTAGTAGTAGTAGTAGTAGTAGTAGTAGTAGTAGTAGTAGTAGTAGTAGTAGTAGTAGTAGTAGTAGTAGTAGTAGTAGTAGTAGTAGTAGTAGTAGTAGTAGTAGGTAGAGTAGTAGTAGTAGTAGTATAGCAGTAGTAGTAGCATAGTAGTAGTAGTAGTAGTATAGTAGTAGTAGTAGTATAGTAGAAGTAGTATAGGTAGAAGTAGTAGTAGTATAGTAGAGTAGAGTATATAGAGACGTAGTAGTAGAGTAGTAGTAGAGAAGTAGTAGTAGTAGTAGTAGACGTAGTAGTAGTAGTAGAAGTAGTATAGTAGTAGTAGTAGTAGAGTAGTAGTAGAGCAGTAGAAGTAGTATAGTAGACGTAGTAGTAGTGAGCAGTAGTGAAGTAGTAGAGTAGTAGTAGGCGTTGTAGTAGTAGTAGTAGACGTAGTAGTAGTAGACAGTAGACGTAGTAGAGTAGCAGCAGTAGTATAGTAGACGTAGAAGTAGTATAGTGAGTAGAGTAGTAGGCTAGCAGTAGCAGTAGTAAAGCTAGACGTAGGTGGTAGCAGGATAGAAGTGAGTATACATAGATAGACGTAGTAGTACATATAGCAGCAGACGTGGTAGTAGTAGTTTACATTAGTACGTAGTAGTGGTAGTGAGTAGTAGTAGTAGTAGTAGTAGACGTAGAAAAAGTATATAGTAGACGTCGAAGTAGTAGTAGATAGTAGCACTTGATAGCGCAAATCTAGTAGTATAACGTATTAGAAGTGAGTAGAGCAGTGGATCAGTAGTATAGTAGACGTCGTGCAGTCGAGCAGTATAGTGGGGCTGTAACTTGTATAGTCCTAAAAGTAGTAGTAGTACAGTAGAAAGTAGTATAGTAGACGTCGTAGTAATATAGTAAAAGTAGTAGTAGTATAGTAGAAGTAGTAAAGCAGTTGATGTAGTATAGTAGACGTAGTAGTAGTATAGTAGAAGTAGTAGAGCAGTAGAAGTAGTATAGTAGAAGTAGTATAGTAGACGTAGTAGTAATATAGTAGACGCAGAAGTAGTATAGTAGACGTCGAAGTAGTATAGTAGAAGTAGTAGAGTAGACGTAGTAGTAGTATAGTAAAAGTAGTAGTAGTATAGTAGACGTAGAAGTAGTATAGTAGACGTCGAAGTAGTAGAGCAGAAGTAGTATAGTAGAGGTAGTAGTAGTATAGTAGACGTAGTAGTAGCATAGTAGACTAGACGTAGTAGTAGTATAGTAGACGCAGTATAAGTAGTATAGTAGACGTAGAAGTAGTATAGTCTGACTGACTGAGTTTAGTTTTACGCCGCTTTTAGCAATATTCCAGCAATATCACGGCGGGGGACACCAGAAATGGGCTTAAGACATTAGTGCCCATGTGGGGAATCAGAGTAGTATTAGAGCAGTAGAAGTAGTATAGTAGACGTCGTAGTAGTAGATGTCTTCGGCGTGATGAACCAACGCTTTAACCAATAGGCTACCCAACCGCCCAGAAGTAGTATAGTAGACGTCGTAGTAGAGATGTCTAAAGCACCAGAGTAGAGGTAGTAGTAGTATTAGAGCAGTAGAAGTAGTATAGTAGACGTAGTAGTAGTATATGTCTAGCACCAGAGTAGAGCAGTAGTAGTAGTAGTAGAGCAGTAGAAGATGTATAGTAGACGTCGTAGTAGTAGATGTCTAGCACCAGAGTAGAGGTAGTAGTAGTAGTAGAGCAGTAGAAGTAGTATAGTAGACGTCGTAGTAGTAGATGTCTAGCACCAGAGTAGAGGCGTAGTAGAAGAGCAGTAGTAGTAGTATAGTAGAAGTAGTATAGTAGACGTAGTAGTAGTATAGTAGACGTAGTAGTAGTAGCAGTAGTAGAGAAGACGCGGTAGTAGTAGTAGAAGTAAAGTAGTAGTAATAACAGTTGCAGCATTAGCATTAGCAGTAGTAGTAGTAGTAGTAGTAGTAGTAGTAGTAGTAGTAGTAGTAGTATCAATACAACGTACGTTCACGGCTACAACGTCTCCACAGGCTGTTCCGGTGTTGTCCAAGTCAAGTGCATATCCCATCCACGTATCTGGAATGCTGTCAGAGGCCAACGTGGGATCTGGGACTTGAGCAAGATTACAGTTTGCATCGGCGCGGTAACCTTGGACGTAGGCATGCCCTGTGAACGACGCTCCAGCTGGGTTCACGCCTATCACCATTTTCCCTGTTTCACACGCCACTGTCACTGGATGTAGATAACATAATAAACATTCACAATTAATAAAAGCAACAAAACCCTTCCCACACCCGATAGAAACCTGTTAAAAGCAGAGCCGGTTGTACGATTCCAAACATACCGCGAGCATGTGTTAATGAATCGCTGTCAAACAGTGATGTTACCGGAGGTTCACGAACTGATGACCGTATCCTGCCCCAACTGCTACCCGTCATAAACTAATGCACGTTTGAAACTGAACATCGCCCCAATGTAATACATTCTTAACGTCTTTGCAACGGAAACTACTTCGATAAAGGAAGACCCAAAGGTAATATAACTGAGATATTTCAGTTGTTATTGTAACTTCACAACGTCATCGTTTCATATCTGACGACCACTAACCCAATGCTTCACTTACGTCGTTTTTCGTCACAGTTGGTACCATAGGAATCAGCAGTACAATAGCAGAGGGCTGTTCCAGCACTGTCGTAGCAGGTACCGTGGGTGCTGCACGGATCCGAAGTCGCACAAGCGCCGGCTCTTATCTGTGCTAAATGGAACATATTTTCGCATTAATATTCACAATCATACAAGACGATGTTAAATGCTAATTAACACCGATTCATGTCAGTCGTATGATAACGACACATACCCGAGCGTCACGGGGTCAACGGCGTCGAGATACTTTTGAATTATGCCCCTTAGCCAAGACATGGAAGAAGAAGAAGCATATGAAGATAGGCCAAGTTTTGAGAAACAAATCATCTGGCGTGTACCGCCGCTGCCTAGCTTGGATCAACTCAAATGTGTTCTGTAACCTAATGGGGTTTTGTCAATGAATCCCTGGTGACAAACTCATCATTGCAATATAAACAGCCTTACTGCAATACATGTTTCCAGGGAAATATGAATATTAATACAGAAACCAGGACTCTTAATTCAGAGTTCTAAATTCTGAATTGTTGCTCGCTGTACAATGAGGTCTGGGCTTACTGAGTTGCTAAAGGCGCTGTAAGTTGCTGTAGGTACGCAGTTGCGTTAGTCGATTCTGTGCTCGAATCCCGGTTTGTTTGGATTAGTGTTCCACCACCATACCAGTGCTCGTCAATTTCATTTCGGGCTTTCCGCCCACGTTAAGCTGTCACGACCTGATATGACTGGAATACTGGCGCTGGTAAACCACAGTCACTCACTCGCTTATTCTACAAGGTGTGCGTGGGTAGCCTTGTGATTAAAGCGTTCGCTCGTCACACCGAAGGCCCAGGTTCCATTCCCGACATGGGTACAATGTGTGAAGCCCATTTCTGGCGGTATTGCTGGCATATTGCAAAAAAAGTCAACTCACTCACTCACTCACTACAAAGTGTAGATAGGCAAAATCAAAGACCACATGAATAGGACAGTTCAGAGGTGAGAACTTACCTGTTACTAAACCACAGTCGTACCCCTCCGATGGGCTTGTGGCGGAGGAACAATCGCAGGTGCTTGAAGTGAAAGCACAGGTTGTTGGTGCTGTACAGGATTGCGATGTTCGACGGCAATCAAATGACGCAGCCCCTAGACATTGGACATCAGGTTAATACCCTTTCACAAAGACATGACATATTTCACATATAATACGATCTGGTGTTTTGGCAACACGTACACGTAAGTTTCAAGATATCTACGCTGGTTTATTTTCGGGGTTATAATCCCAGGTGTGTACTTTCTATCGCACTTCAGTTTATTTTTCAATGACGATGCAAATAATTATTTGAATATTTTTTTCATAAATACTTAATATCTATTCAAAAACTTGTTCTATAATATAATATTCTGATGGAACTTTAATGTTGGAACATTAATTATCAATTACCACTTTATCATTACAGTGAAAGGTGGACAATGGCAAGGTGATACTTGAACTCACCTAGATGAGCCAGCAAAGCCACAAAACAGAAGGTCAAACTCCTCATCATGCAGATTCCGTGGGAAGATCGCCTTGGAAAACAGGGGTACATGTAAAGCAATGGTTCCCGGTGTGCCTTAAATCCCGTGAAAGGTTGTTAATGGCGAAGTACATAACTTCAACATGCCTCTGCATGTAACCGAAAGATGTTCGTATAAAAAGTAGTTTCATAAACAGTCAAAATAATTTTGGCGAACGATTTAACAGAACTATGGTGATATTTTCTGCATCGGGTAAACTGTGAAACTGGCCATTTGGATGTCCAAACTGGCACATATCTCCTCTGATAGTTTTTCAGGAGTGTTATCTAAACTCTGTTGTCTGAGACAGGCAATGTTTTCACAGAAGGTATGTCAGAACATGTAGCTGCTTCTACATTGTCGTACGGAAAACAATTTCGAAATAACAGGTGTCCGAACTAAGACGTTTAGGGACAGAGACAGAGAAGGAGTCTGAAGGGAAGATAGAGCAAGAGAACGAGAGAGAATGAAAGGATAAAGAATTCCCTCTTAAGAGATAAGAAAGAGTGAAGGGAGAGAGGGAAGGGGAGGTTAAATAGTTCTCTCTTAAGAGATAAGAAAGCGAGAAGAGAGGAGAGGCTCAAGACTCTTCCCTTAAGAGATAAGACGGAGAGAAGAAAGAAGTGAAAGAGAGAAGAGTGGAGGGTGGGAGAAAAAGAGCCAGATACACGAGATAATGAGTGAGACACACACTCAGTGGGGAACATAATGAAGCATACAGGAGTGGGAGAGAGAGTAAATAGGAGGGGGAAGGAATAGAGAGACAGAAAGAAAAAGAAATAAGGAATCAAGGGAAATGAAGAGTAATGGAGAGATGCACCACCTTGCCAGAGACAAACGGTGCGAGTCAGGGCACTCACTCATGCACGCACGCACGCACTTTTCATACGTGATGTTAGCTACGGACTTTGTATAGTATGACTCAGATATCTAGTCATCGCATTTACGATGGATAAATATATTAACTCGCACGGAATACATTGTGATCTTTATTTGAAACAAACTAGCATATACAATTCTATTGTGACCTCCATAGATGCCCGACCTGTGTGTTTACTCATGTACACATCCTTTGTCCTTCATTGTTCCGTTTTGTAGGCAATAACGGGAAGCCATCAAATCATCTTTTATTATAATTCACGGTAGATAACCTTTAGATAGCACGGGCGATCGCTAAAGGGGGTCTATATTAACCGTATTTGTTTGCCTGACCGGCAATGACCAATGTTTTGTCCAAAACACGCGATAGAGAATACCGGCATACTTAAGCCCTCAACCACATACCACGACAAGAAACTAACATAAGCCCCAAAAGACCGAATGACTTCAAAAGCTTAAGGTACAATACTGCTATATTAGGTAGAGCAGGAAATGTGGCTATGAAATTACACAGAATGCCTTTCGTCAATAATTGATACCTTGTAGATGATGTGGGTGAGCTGGTAGTGGTATTAGTGTCACTACACACAAATAGTACTTATCGACGTTACAATCACCAAGAACAGTGTGTCAGTTGAAGGCATGCGTCGGAGTCGAAGAAAATTTGTTACCTGATTTAACAAATTTCCGTGAAGATCAAAGTCCTCATATTACATCGGAAGTTTTCTTAACACGAACACTAGCGTTACCGAAGATTGTTCTGTCATGCGTGAAACACTTACTCACTCACTCACTCACTCACTCACTCACCTATCCGCTCAACGAAGGAAAGAAAAGAGAGGGGAAACAATTCGACTCAGGCCGCTCACTCACTCACTCCCGCACGCACGCACGCACGCACTGACTCACTCACTCACTTTTAATATGTGATGTTGGCTACGGATTTTGTATTGTATAACGCAGATGTTAAACACATGATTACGCTATCGATAAACTGCTTTGAGTCCTTTTAATATTTATTCTAGACATGTTCTAGAAGTTACGAAATTCTCGTTTTAAAACCTTTTAGAAAGTCACCTATCTCGTGTCTTAGCAACAAATCCAAATCTGCCTTAATTAGGCCTTTTACACCTCCAGAATCCTGTTCCACTATGCGATCCTAGCACTACGAACATTGCAACTCCATAACAAAGGGATTAAATAACCTTCGTCCGGAAGCTACAATCAATTTGTTGACCTCCCCGAACAATGTTTTGTCTGTACTTCGAGACAAACGGACCTCCGACAGTGGACTGTTCCGCAACTGATGCTTGTCCGTAAGTGACATCTTAAACTTTAATTCAGTATGTGGCGGTGGGGTAGCCTAGTGGTTAAAGCGTTCGCTCGTCACGCCGAACATCTGGCTTCGATTCCCCACATGGGTACAATGTGTGAAACCCATTTCTGGTGTCCCCCGCCGTGATATTGCTGGAATGTAAAACTAAACTCACTCACTCACTAATTCAGTGCGACATTTAACGTTATCCATAATTGACAAAAAAAAGTTTTAAAAGAGCTTTGTTTATTCTCCGCTCAACATCTACCCCTCGCCGAGACATTTATGAAGCAAAGTTAAAAGGATACTTCTGTGTATATTCTGCTACTCTGGTGTAGTCAAGGTCGTACGAAAGACATTTGGAAGACGTTTCTTATGATTTAGGGAAAGTTCCGATTTTATATACTTGCATAACGCCCACATTTTTTATCACGGTTAATTTGAACCTAAGTATATGACCAATGAAAGGTCGTATATGAAATGACTTGACTTAGTGATCGCACCAGTAGGAACGAATTCTCTGAAAGTTTTCTCTCAAGGCGTGCATGTACGACTGACTGACTGACTGATTGAGTTTGGTTTTACGCCGCTTTTAGCAATGTTGCATGGAAGAACTGTATTATGTGAAGTGATCATCGTATCGGTAATTTTGACATTTCATGGGGTTGAATTTGTGAGGAGACCCCAGGCGTACTGGCAATGGGCTTTTAGATCTTTGTGAACCATTAATGCACGCTTGAAAACCAAGATTCATAGATTCATAACAAGAGGAAATCTTGGATTCAAACCCAGCTGTACCTGACAGTAAAGGGATACAACTCCACACAAAGACTGGTAACATCTATAGTGCATGTTGTAATATCATTTTATAATAATCAAACCGTTCCCGGTTCATTTTTATTTCACCTAAAGTCCACTTTCGTAATTGTTCTATTCCTAATTTTTGTATCATCATCACATGGCATGGAAAGTAAACAGTTGAGCTGAACCACAGCCGTTTTGTCTGTCATTTATTGACCCCTTATATGGTGTAGCAGACATCATGACAGTGCACCATAGAAGTATTTTACTATACAGATCATGTTTAATGCAATTTGAAAAGTATGTAGATACATGCAAAAATACGTACAAAGTAAACAATATTTAATAAGGTAATCTGATAGGTCAATGATGACTTGGTTTGGTAAGCCAAGACAGTATTATATTACATACAAAAAGCATCAATAAATTTGTCATTTTGACAACCCTCGTTTTAAACAATGATGATAGTGAATCAGTGAGTGAGTTTAGTTTTACGCCGTTTTTAGAAATATTGCAGCAATATCGCAGCAGGGGACACCAGAAACGGGCTTCACACATGGCATCCATGAGGGGAATCGAACCTGGGTCTTCGGCTTGACGAGCAAACGTTTAACCACTAGGCTACCCCACCACTCCAAACCATGACAATAAATAAAACATTGTCATAAATATAAGTGTAAGTTGAAATATTATTTTGAAAAGAAGAACACAATTTCTTACCTTTGGCCCTTGACAAGTTCAGGCAGAGTAAGAAGCTGTCGAAATTCTTGGACACTGCTGCAGTTTGTTTCGATTGCGAAGTCCTTTTATACACATCATCTGGAAATGACGACTGTCGTGTTGATAACGTTCTTATTATCTGTATATTCACCTGGATCGTTGGAATAGAGCAGTAAATAAAGTGGCCAATAGAAAATCAACACCGTCGCACCACGTGGGTTATACAAGAACCGCCCACACGCATGTCCAACCCAGAATGGCTGAATTTATATATAGATCCTATATAACCTTAGGCTTCATGTCAACTGTTGGACACAGAACGAGATTATCCAACCACGTATAGTCCTACTAATATATTACACAATATCGTTTTTCTCTTTAGTTTGTAACCAGCGCTCTGTGTGTGATACAAAGATTGTTCTGAGTATCTACTTTGGATGCACGAGCGAAGGTAATAGAATATTATGAGCTCTGAGTAGTTTTGAGATTTACTTTCAGACAGAGAAAACAGACTTAATAGTGAATGGAAGAGTATATTTTATCTGCATGATTTGTATGTAGGAATATTGGTAATTCATACTATTATTCCAACTCCCATGAACCACCCGTAACGACATAACGTCAGAATATTGTTTATTAGTATACTTCCCTGTGCACACATGTATGAAGGTCAGAATCGAACCTTTAAAGCATTAGCGAATATGTAAATCTCTGTGCGTGTATTGATGCGTGTTTTAAAGTAGATTTAGCACAAATATGATGCTATCTTGGCGTAGATAAGTGTGTTTGTGTTGTTGATAGCCACAGGGTAGTGCACCCTCACAAACAACCGTCATAATACACCGATAATCATCTTCAAAACTCAAACCCTTCTGTCATCGTCTGACAAAAACCGGACTCTTCTGAAAAAGGAAATGTTAATAAAAACAACTGTCGGTTACGCGGCTTGATATGAATCATATTGTACCAGGGATACAAGATGGGGTAGGGAGGGCGCTGCGCGTCAAACAGCGTGACACAGGTTTTGTTTTCGTGACTTGTCCAGCCACGTATTATCATTTAGATATAATACTTTGGCAATAGTATTATACCTGGGAGACCATGAGCCCTTATTGTTTAAACATGGAGAAAACATTGTAGAACGTGTAACCAGCTGGTTGATAAACATTTTTGTAATTGGGCTTGGATCCATGCGTATGAATTCCTATCCCTATAGTATTACGAATATTATTCTCATTTTTTAAGATTTTATGTCAAAATATAAGTTATTTATCGTTTTTAGAACTGATTAAATATTTTCAAACTGCGCAATAGTTTATGTTTTCTTCATTATACTGGCAAAGTTTTGCTTGCTTTTGTTTTCCAATGACGCTGTGTATTTTCACTACTGTTTTGGTCGATCAAAAAGAACTGATAACAGTTTATGTGAATTTTTCAATGTCAAAAATCACGTGTTTTCCACAAAAGCTAGTGTTTGTAAGGATTAATGCACTGAAACAGTCCTAACAGAACTCCGAGTTCTGTAGCAACGACTAACACCCACAAATCTAGACAAAAATAATTATTGTTGACGATTTCATGGTGGTTTTTTTTCTAAAGATAGTCAAGTCTAGTTTTAGTGAATACACCTTGCATTAAAAAGTGAACATTTCACAAGGTCAACTTCTGTAATATTAGGGCCACGACCTGATAAAGGAGTAAGACTATTACATAAGTTGATATCCACAAATATTCACCCTGTATGTGTCTTTGAGTGTCACTTCCAAATGCCATTCAAAAACTTCATTTGCATTGTAGGAAAAGAAATAATGACCATTTACTTTCAAATTAAAGTAAAGTGCCCCATAACTGTGCTTCTAGCCACAATGATTGTTTTTAAAAAAAGAAAGATTTGAGCATCAGTATGAAAAACGAGCTCCTGTGCTTTAAAAAGATTTCGATCTGAAATCAACACACACCGCCTCCATGAAAATCAAAAAGTAGCTTTTGAGAGTCTTCTGTTGTCGCTCTTACAATAAACCAAAAAGTGTAGGGTATTTTGCAGTAGGATAGAGTCAGTGGGCAAATATTGTTTAACGCCATATTAGCACCGGTAAATCCTTTTTGTTAATTTTAACACATTAAATATTTTGTTTTCTTCACCTTCAGCAGTAAAATAATCAAAGGACAAATCCTACCAAATATACTAAAATGTCATGCTTACAAAGTGTCCAATGACTGACGGTGTTTCATATAGAACTTTCCTCAGTTTTGTAACAGAATAGTGTTCGTTTCTTACACTTAAGCAGTTGAATGAAAAAAGGACAAATCCTACCAAATATACTAAAATGTAATGCTTACAGAGTGTGCAATGACTGACTGTTTCTTATAGAACTTTCCTCAGTTTTAAAGAGAATAGTTAGACTAATTTCAGCAGCTGACAAATTCTATCAGTGATTTGGGTATCAGCTGGCAGTGTTGGTGATGAATGTTGCCCGCGGTAATATCGCTGGCCACCCTGCCCGTATCCCGACCAGCAGCACCGTAACCTACAAATGTCCAGATGTCGTGATGAATCACGTCGTCCTGCGTGAATCCATTCATTTGGGTTACTCCTAGTTGAACACATACCAATCTCCACCATATAACATTACATTTCTCAATCTTCTTCTTTATGACATTCATTGTTCTGTGATCCACAACGTTTCATTTCATTGCCTTTTCTTTCAAGCACAAAGCTGTGTATCATTAATAGATATTATCACCAAATATAAGAAATTATGGGATTATATAAAAAGAAACTATAGAAATCAGACGTGACACATAATGAAATACCTTTAATGTTGAGATGTACCATTATAAATCCATATAGAAGATATATGCTTTTAAGTGTTATCTGTTATACATGTCGTTGTGGAAAATAAAGCTTTAGCATATTGTCGGCGTAAAAGTATCGTTTCCATTAGTTTATTTGGTGATATGTGTATATTTAGAACAGGTGACTGTAAGCTTCATCTTTGTAAAGGGCCGTTACTAATACAGTTAAAAAGTGACTCTGCTCGTTACGTTTGGCATCGTAACTCCAGCAAATAGAAACGACCAAGTACGTTCTGTTATCATGATAAATATCTGCCAAAAGCAGTGTCCTGTACTATCTTGACATCATCATGAGCATGTGTTAACGAATCAACAAGTGTTTGCGTAAAGATGAGCGTATTCTGCCTTCACCAACACTGTAAATGCAGGTCGTTTGTTCCCGAAAGCAAAAGTACGGAATGGTATTGGACATCATGCTTGTGATACGGCAAATGTGATTTGAACCAACCAATCCTTATCACGACTGTCTTCAAGCCTTCATTTTATGATGCCTATTAACTGATAATTATAAAGTCATGACACGAATTGAATAATCACATTAGCTGGACCGAAACTCCAAATAGGAAAATAGGACTTAATCATGCTAAAACACAGATTGGTGAAATAACAGGTCCAAGTCACGCTTTCCAATCATAAGAAAAGGAAAGTTTATTATACACCTTTTTGCATAATTTTACTGCAACCCAAACACATGAGACAACTTGTATTCTCATGTATGTCTTCAAAAGTATGGAATATTTTTCGGCAGATAATCGAGACTGTATTTTCTCTGGTGTTGCTGTATATACTGATATTTGCAATGGTTCTGTGGGTAAAAATGTTTGAAAATGTCTGATATCTGTTGAAAAAGGACCCATACTAATCACCGAAAGGATCCTAATCACAGGAAATGGAATGTCCAAATTTAGACGACACCGGGTGTCCTTGGAAAGAAAATACGTTGCTTATCCTAACTATAACCTTTCACATTCCGTGAAAAATATTTGATCTCGCCAATCGCCACAGATCCCAGTTCCTAAGCCAGTCGTGCGTTGACATTAAACGTTCGAACCTTGATCAGACAATCAGCGACCGACATATTGAGAAATGATCTGCACCGTTGGAGTGCCACACTCTCAACCAAGTCATCGGATTCGGCTACTTTCAGATCAACGGTTGAACACACATTAAAAGTTTAAATGTGATGAAAATCAAACATCGTTCTCAGAGGTCAAAAGTATTCCTAATTTGCAGGACCTTTCATCTGAGGACAATAATAAACAGATTATTAATTTTAACATAGGCTTCAAGGTGTTGTGGTAAGGAATCACGCATGTATGTTTGTTCGTGTTTAACGCCACAGTCAGTTCCATGTGTATATAAATAACAGGTCTCGACCAGGCAATCCGGTGATTGACATCGTGAGCATCGAGGAATTTCAGAATCGACAACATGCAGCAGCCAAATCGAGCCTGACCACCCGATCCCGTTAGGTTGGGTTGCCTGAGGCTAATGTTAACCCGGATCTAGGTAACGTAATTTTACACCATATAAACCCGTTGACATGTCGAACGATTCACCGTTTTCTTCATGTCTGTTGAGGTGGGAATGTGTCTACAGGTGTGTCTAGACACATGTTACAACACACATGCTTGCAAGTTAGTACTGAAGGGCATTTGGTACACGCAATCTGAAAAAATAGAGAATTTCATTCATACGCTTGCTTATAATAATTATGGTATTTTGTGCATCTTCTTACTCCCGAAACGGTGTAGGGGACTACTCTGGTGGGTTCGAATCCATGATACATCGTGACGATCATCATCTTGCCAAGAAACTAATGCATGGTTAATAATGGAATGTTCACCAAGAAATACCACCCGATCCCGGATCTAGGTAACGTAATTTTACACCATATCGTTTTCTTCATGTCTGTAGAGGTGGGACACGACGAAGGATATACATAATAAATAATAAATAATTCAAACCTGATAGAAAGTTGAGTGAAACTTAAGTTTCTACCTAGAATCCAGTGAGTTTCCGTTCTTTACTCTGAAATCCGAGAAGGTCCGGGTTAGAATATTGATCTTCAGTAACCCGTGCCTGTCGTAAGAGGCGACTAACGGGGTCGGGTGCAGTGGTCAGGCTCGTTGACTGGGTTGACACATATCACCGTATCTCAGTTGCGTAGATCAATGTTCCTGCTGTTGATCCCTGGATTGTCTGGTCCAGACTCAATTATTTACAGACTGCCCCCATAAAACTGGAATATTGACGAGTGCGGCAAGCTCTTTTACATTTGAATTTCCGCAGGAAA